TGTACAGCTCGAACTGTAATAGACCATTATTATGTTGCAGCTATTTGATTTTTCCCTATTCAACTCAATGTTACTAAAGCGAGGCTGGAAGGAAAAACAGTCTGGTTCCTTTTTGCACAACATAAATTATCATTCAGTATTGTTATTGGATACAGGGAACATGACTGGAATGGTGGCAGCACGAGGAAGCCATTTCGGATAGTGTTCCCTTAATGTATTTTGTAAATTGTTGAATGTGATGGTGCCTGACCATTTATTCGTTCCGAGATTCACTTTCATTTTCTTCTTTACATGTGGCTTAAAACATTAGGGTATGTTTAATCACAATGTTTAAATTATTCATCAGCGATTGACTAGATACTTTATTAATTTGTAACTACCTTTATTTCATTGCTTTCATTTCTATTCGTAAGTTGCAAGAATGAGGATTTTACCTCGTTTTCAATTTAATAATGGTCGACTCGTGAATTTCTTTCGTGTAAATATGCAAGGCATTTCTTGATACTCAAACCTTACATGTAAGTTTACCGAATTATCCTATTCAAATTGTATTAAAAAAAATTACAATGAGTTGTTATTTTAGTTACGATTATTCTGGCATGCCTTATAACTTGGTAACTCTACTGTTGAATTACTTTTACTTATAATGTCTCGACTAATTGTAGGGGGTGTGACCCCGGGGTGGTGGAACCGCCTACTTATTAGTTCGGAATCTATTTCCTTGGCAAAACTGAGTCTCAAATATTTAGAAAATAACAAATATCAGCTCAAGAAATATTACTTTCAAGTTGTCCGAGTAACTTGGTCACTACTTATCGCCTTTTTCAGCATTGGGACATGGTCTGGCGATAGTGTCCAAGCGGCATGGCCGCCACCGCGCGACACAAAAGAAACGACCAAACAAAAACATCAGATTTCTCCCTCTAAACGGCCACAAAATATATACGCCACCTGAGATACAAATAAAGTATCAATAAAAATGTATATAAAAATGTTACCTGATACGATCTGGATAAAAAGTGAAATTCACTGTTTAAAGGCGAGGGCTCCGTCGCGAAAACCGCGCGGATGCCATTTTCAAAATTTGCATTTTTTTGAAAGATATTATTTCAGTAACTATTTCCATAAGTGGTTAGAGAGTTCTGACATAGAAAACAAATGGAAACCAAGCTCCAAAACCATTACATATTAAACAATGCGCCGTGAAAATGGGCATATAATTATTGCAGTATACATAATTGTCAGTTTTGAAGAGCGCCCCCATTTGGAAGATAAGTACCAGCCCCTCCCCCCCCCCATGTCTACATTTCCGCGCGGATGTGCACTTGCCCCCCCCCCCCCCCCCCGACATCTAAAGCTGGATACGCTATTGATCTGTACTTAGAACTCAGGTGGCGTATCTAGTAATTTTGTGGCCGTTCTGAGTGTAAAATGTGAATTTTTTGTTGGGTCTTTTCTATTTTGTCACGCGATGGCGGCCATGCGGCTTGGATATTCCTTCTATCGTCAGACCATGTCCCAATGTTAAAAAGGCAATAACTAGGGTCTATGTTCCTTGCTCTATGCTGGGACTAACTCTCAATGTAAAAGATGATTTCCTTCAAGTTTAGCAAGAACTTGACACTCGGATTATGTAATTAGATATGCAAAGGAGTAACTATTTGTTTATTGACTTAGGATTTAGAAAAAGAGAGTGAAATGGACAGTTTACACTTGGTTTGATTATTATTATAAATCTGATAAGGCCCCCCCCCCCAAAAAAAATAGTTCTACTTTCGGTTTTCCTGCCTACCTTATTCTGACAGCCCCTACCCTATTTTTTTATGGGAAAAAAGAGGAAAAAACATCAATTTCTACCTCTTACCCAGTGGCGCACCCAAGGAGGGGGGCGCCTCGGAGAGCTTGAGCCCCCCTCCCTCACCCCAAGAGGTTGTAAAAACAAATTATTTTATTTTTTTTGGTGTAATTTTTTTTTAGTCCCACGATTTGACCTTGGTGATTATTTATGTGGCCTATTTTCGAGTAGTTTAATAGGGGTGTAAGTGACGCCACCAACGTCAAAATAGTCCCCCCCCCCAAAAAAAAAAAAAAATATATAATAATAACAAATAATAAATAAATAACAAATAACAAATTTAACTTCTAAAAAATTTGAAAAAGTGCGAGCCTCCCCCCCCCCCCAAAATCAAATCTTGGGTGCTCCACTGCTTTTACCCTATACGCAGACGCTTCCATGTGATCGCACACACATAAAAATAGCCCCCCCAAAATTCCCTACCTACCTACCCTATTTTCGAGTGCCGTGTAATCGGAAGCAGAATTTTTTTGTTTGGCCTAATATTAAGCCAAACAAGGACCAACGAAAATGCAAGAAAAGCAATAAGCAATGGAAAGAGCTGTAAAAAGAAAGGCATGGATAAAATGACAAGAGATAGGAACTGCGCATGTAGACCTGCTTCCCTATATCTACTGGAGTCCATCTGTGTAAAAACATCAGTGTAAAGAAAAGCCTTCAACTCCCTACATGAAACAGTCGTCGAGTGACGACAAAATTGCAAAACTTTACACGCAAAACTTTCTCTACAATGCGCGAATACGAGCCGTCCGAAATAACAGATATCGACCACAGCCGAAGTCCACACATAGCCTGCGGGTTCTATGAACACGGTTTCACAAAGTCATAACAACAAAATGGTGAATTTTAGCGGCTAAGACAGATAAAAGAATAAAATTCAAGGCGAAGGTGTAACTTACGTTTCTGCTAGATCGCGCCTTGTCGGAGAGAGGCAGATTGTCACGTACGCCACGGCGAAGCACGTCGCGCAAGGCTAAGCCCAGGCTCGGCTTAACACGACTACCCACATTATTACGAAATTATAAAAGTGAAAACAGACACATCATAACCTAGAAAATGGACGATCACTAGGATATAATTTATAATTCAAATGGAGTAAAAACATTGAGTACCATGTGGAAGTGGAACTATGTCTAGTCGCACATGGAGACTATTTAGTTCGGCGTGATGAAGCGGCACAAAAAGTTAGACTTGCTACAAGTCCGACCACCACACTAATAAGATGATGTAAAGCGGTAGATATTCATTGAGACATGGAAATGTGGTTCGACCATCTAGAATGTTTGTTTTTTACGGTGATCTGAAATTGGTGATAGTTGATTTATAAAATCCACTTTACTAACTGAAAAAAGGCGGGCCTTTAAAAGGACTTTGTTGAATATTTTTAACTTTTAAACTGAGGTTTTATCGCTGGTGATGTTTGAAGACAATTGTGACGACGATTCTTGAAATCGCATTTTTTGACGAAAGAGGTTTTAGGGTCATTGTGTTTACATATGAAATTGGCTTTCCAGTCATTATTATGTTTAGTGCTGCCATATTTGTTGAAATATGAAATATAATTTTGGGGGGTTTGGGTACCGCTTTAATTTTTTTACTCACCCTGTACATGTGTGTATTTTGTTTTGGCAACATAATATTTTGGAGCCCTCTCTCTCCCTCCCCCCCCCCCCCTTCCAAAAAATTGGTTCTGGTCCGCTTTTGATTACCAATAATTTGTTCGAGATCTCAGACGCAAGGATATGATTATGACAACATATCTTGAAGTAATTCTCCCAAAGGCAGCTCTTGGCATAGTAACCCTTATATACTGCCCTCTTGCGTTAGCACATCGTCAGGCGATCTCGCAGCCCAGCTTGCATGGAACATTGTGTGGTCAAAATTTGTCTGTACGGTGTTCCTTCCTCCATGGTTGGACCCACTAATTCACGTTTCAACTTCATTGGCCGCAAAATGCAACTGCATGTATTTAAACCCTAACTTAACAATCATGCAGACAAGCGACTCTTTATAGTTTAGCAGAACTTTATGTACCGGTACTTAGGAGATTTAAGAAAAAGCAGTTACTGCTCAAGGTTACTTAATTTTTTGTTTTACATTCTGATATCTGTTATTCATGAAACGGGCCACCCTGACACTATCTCCTCTCTCAACACTGTAAAGGTACTAGCTCTATGGTAAAATTAATCACGATGAATCGATTGCATCTGAGACTTTTAACGCTTCAGGGATTTAAAGAGGTAAACTCCATTGTTACCGTCGAAGAAAACTCTTAATTCATAGGGTATCAAAGAGAAATTGTCTGTATTGCAAAAAAGCAGTAGTAAAACTATTTCCATGTCACCTCCATTATAACTTTTTTTGGTTTCTGGTATTTTGTTATCAGCTTGTTAATGTTAGACAATTCTACAAATCTTCAAATAGAGTATGTGTCAGTTATCATTACACGCTTCAAATTCTTCAATTTTATTCAGGATTTAAAAAAAAAATCTCACCCTAAAAAAATTCATGGACAGTAAGCTGGTGAACTGTACTAAGCGGAGACAGCAGTCTGAAGAAACCTGCTTTTAAATAAATTTGCCAGAGCTTAAAAACGATAGGTTTTTGTTTTTTTTCTTGGTTCTTGTGCTGCAGCTTCCATTTCGAACGTTTTCTCCCAATTTCCATGGAAGCGAGAAACGAGACATACCTACAGCTGGAGTAAATTTGGGATAGAAAATTCTCCCTCAACGTGACCCATTTCTCAAAAACAAGGTCGCATTTTGATTTAATTTCTTGGTTTTTTTTATTGGATTTAGGGCCGCAGACCATTATGTTGACATTGGTCGGCCTGGGCCTAATGACTTGTTTCCCACGGTGCAAACCCACGGGACCACGCCCCCACGGAGGAAAGACCTAGGTTTTGTTTATAAACGGATCTGGCCGAAGAATGTAAAGGGCTGTCAACTTTCAGCTGAGCCCCTTGTAACACGACCCTCAATTATAATGAACGAGAATAGGATCCGGAAAACCGCAGATTAAGGGATAGTAACAGGTGAATTGTATACAATGTACATGTACATGTACACATGTCATAGCTGTGTAGCCAGCCGGCCCCGCACGCACGTACACATGTACATGTACATGGTCATTCGTTCAGTAGCTATCCAGAGAAGCGGTTCGCGCCCAGCATTTGGGCCTGGAACTGATTTTATTTCTCACGGATTTCTGGACAAATTTCCCTATTTTGGAAAATTATTTGCAAGTTTCTGATTGAGGACAACCTTTTGAGTCAGCTTTTGACGTTTTCGAGCGACTGGAAGTGCGCTGAGGGTGTTTTCTTTGGATTATTATTTTTTTTCCCACCGAGCTCTGCAGACGAAAGTGAAAATTGTACTCAGCTGTGGTTTGCGCGCTTTCGCACCGTCGGTGTGCAGCCTAGTCATGGCCGATTTTTTGGTCGGCCAAACCCGTCGGACATGGCGGGTTTTGACTGGAAATTTGAAAGCCTTAAGGTCGGCATATGGTCTGACTCAGTTGCTGCTGTGTACCCTTGTGCTCGCTGGAACTGTATTGGGGGATGAAATTGACGGCGACCCGGAAGGAAGGCGAGTTAAACGGGCGGTGCAAACGAACGTTCGGTAAGTAATTTTTAGAGAAAGTGTTTCGAAATGTGGAGATCGTCTGCTCGTGAAATTACAGTCGGTGCGCATAGCGAATGGGGCGCACGTTTTGTAACCGCGCGCTTCGTGTTTTTTTTTTTCTTGTAAAACTCGTCACAATAGCATGGATAATGCATTTTTCAGCAGTTTTTCCCTTTTTTTCTTTGATAAAAAGACTTCTAAAAAGGATTTGGCTATTTTTTGGTAGCACACTATGCAGGCGCAGCGGGCAGCCTAGTCTTATAAAGTTATAGTATAACTTCGAATGGAAAAAAGTGAAATGGAATATTTTGTGTATTTTATTCGCATGGAAGTAAGAAAAACTTTATTTTTCTGGCAGCAACTATTTTTAAACAAATGTTTGTGGAACATTTGATGACATAATTTTTAAAAAAGTTAGGAAATTTTGATAAACATAAGTCCCTGGAAATATATACCTTGCAAATTTCTGTTCTGGCATTGTCTCCCAAAAATGTTGACAATTTTACACTCAAAATTCCCCCATATTTTTCTGCCGAAAATGCTTGAACTACAAAAACCATCAGGGCCCAAGACATAAAGAAAATGGATGTTTTGTGTGGTTAATGCATTTCTTAGCATTTTCTCTTTTTATTTTCTTAAATAAAAAAGTCTTCTAAAAGGATTTGCCATTTTTTTTACTGTGCAGGTGGGGCCTAGTAAATAGTCATATAAAGTTGAAGAAGAACTTAAAAGTTGAATGAAAACACGTGAAAACTTTTCTGAGCATTGTTTCCTTAAAATTTTAAATACTTTATTTGCACCAAAGTAAGAATTTATTTTTTTATTTTTCTGGCAGCAACTTGTTTTAAACAAATCAGTCTGCATGGGACATTGGGGAAAATAATTGAAAAAAAGTTAGGAAATTTTGATTAACTATTTATAAAGTAAAGTCCCTGGAAATATCCTTTGCAAATTTCTTTTCTCTCTCACAACTTTTTCACATAATATTTTACACTTTTTACACTCCAAATTCCCCCATATGTTTTTCCAGAAAGTGTTTGAATTACAATCGTCAGGTCCCGAAACAAAAAGAAAACGGGGGTTTTCTTGTTTTCAAATTTAGTTGTAGTGATGGAGTTTTAGCAATATTTTAACAAATATTACATTTTCGACCCTTTTTTTCGAGCATTTTAAAAAATTAATTTCTAACCTTTTCGAATATTTTGTGACAATCACATCCTCAATAAATTCAAGGACTGATGCTTCATAAAATATTCATTAGAATTTAGCAAATTTTCATGCTAACTTTGTTACAGAAATATCGCATTTTTCTCAAATTGCATTGCCATCTTGTTACATGAAATCAACGTTTGCTATAGCTCTTCCCCTCCTAATTTTCCTTTCAACATTGTCAGTAATTATAGTGAGGTTACTTGCATCAAGTCTGAGTCCGAGTCTTGTCTGAGTCTGAATCTCGATTCACTTGCTTCGGGTCTGAGTCTCAGTTTCGAATCATTTGCATAGTCTGAGTCCGAGTCCAAGTCTCGAGTCACTTGGGTCAAGTCAGTGTCCGAGTCACAAGTCACTTGCATTGAGTCTGAGTCTCGAGTCACTTGCATCGAGTCTAAGTCTGAATCTTGAGTCACTTGGGTCGAGTCTGAGTCTGAGGCACGGGTCACTTGCATCGAGTCTGAGTTTGAATCTTGAGTCACGTGCATCGGATGCGAGTCCGAATCTCGAGTCACTTGCCAAGTCCAATCTCGAGTCAATTGAGTCGAGTTCGAGTCCAAGTCACAAGTCATTTGATTCAAGTCTGAGTTCAAGTCATTTGTAGAGTCTGAGTCACTAAAATTGTGACTCGAGACAGACTAAGTACGAGTTGTGGACTAAAATCCTACAACACTGCCTTTCAAGTAACGTGCATGGCATTCTGTCTGTTTGTGCTGTGAATTATTTGTGCCGTAATTTATAACCCCACTGTCCAAAAGACCAAACAAAAAACAAACTAAAATCCAGAGGCCGTAGAAATTGACTGTTTTTTTTTCTTCAGTTTTTTTTAATTTACATGCTTCACATTAAACCTGAACTCAAATTCTGGAATGGAACTATAAGAAATCAGAGTCAAAATTAAATGCGTATTAAAATGTTAAAGGTCATTATATTTTTATGCACGTAACTGCCTTTTTATTTACACAACCAAGTCCAGTCTTCCTTTTGCGACCAGATTTAACTGGGACAGATTCCTGTCCATGTATATTTGAACTGGATTGAATTGACTACCAATTCATTTTGCTTCCTTCAGTCACAACTAACTAAGCCATTTTCTAGGTGCCAGGCTAAACTTTAATCTCGGGAAAGTTTGCGTGGAAATTCCAGATTACCTTCAGTCAATAAAAGCACTTGTGTTGCTGAGGTGATGGGGCATTACGTTAGTTTCGGTCACTTTCTCTCTAAGTTGTTTGAAAGGAACAGGTTGGTTCATCATTCGAATGTGAAGTCATTATCTTGACCTTTTTTTTTTAGCATTGTGTCTTGTTGATACATATTCATATGGAAATTGCAAAAGAATGACATTTTATTCTCCTTTTAACAAATAGTGCAGTTTATCGTCATGAAAAATCACACAATTTGTTTGGTTGGTCGTTACATTGGATTTAGGGTTTGTAAATCTTGCTATATAGTTGCACAGATCTTAACCACTTCGCACTGGGATTATTTTGATATTGATCAGACCAACGCGCAGGATTGTTTTCACAAACCTCGATGCCAGACAGGTTCATGGCATCATCTGCGGGTAGCACACCAGTTGCAGACAGGTATTTCCGGCCTCGCTCATTGTGTGTTTATCCGTCATTCGTTTAGAATACCGCAAAACCTTTGCGTGTATACAAAAGTACGTCATTCAAAGTGAACTGGTTAACATTTGGAGTAGGTCATGTGGTAGTAATATGGTGACTGCTCTGTACATGTAGACTGTCATGCATATTAAATTCTATACATAACAGTTTACAAAAGGTGGTGTCAGAGTAATATTAAATGCATCTGTCAGGGTAAGGCTGAACGTTTCGCAAGGGGATGGGAGTGTTTACAGGTCCAATTTTAATGTGAAGCACTTTGACAAATGGGTTTACATGTACATGTACCACAGATTCCTCCATAAATTTTTATTAAAAAGTGATTACAACCGGCATTTTTATACAAACTGAAACCATACATCCTGCCACAGACCTTGACTGATTTTTATGTCGACAGTGTTCGTGTGAAGTCCAGGTAGTACCACATCCTCTTGGCTTGATGCTGTGCAGGCAGTAGACCTTTTTTTCAAGGAAGTATTTGGCCTGATTTTAGTGAAGTTTTTGATATTGGTGGGAGAAATCAGAGATCCTAATTGCTTTCGAACAGAATAACATCATCCAATTTCACTAGAAGTTCCCATTAGGTTCACAGTCAACAAAAAGTGATGAGTGACGTGTCGCATGAAATGCTTTCCGGATAGTTTGGTAAAGTTTGCAAGATTCACTGACCAATGCATGGCCTTTAATACAAAAACACTCCAGAGTTGAATGGTAAAAAAATGAATGGTTAGTAGAATCAGCAGGCTATTCATGAACCAGGAAGAGCATTAGCGAGTGAATGTGGTCTTAATCAGAGACCATGGAGCAAGTTGAGCGATGTTCCAGATATTTTCTTGAGCTTGTGTCACAGAAAAATGGAAGGCTGGTTTTGAATATCCGGTTTCCAAAGTCCAAACCGAATAATGAAATTCAAACCAAAATTTAAAAAAAAAATCAGGATTTGAGTTCCCCTACTAATTTTAATCATTTAAATCAGTGGATAAAAGTTGTGTTTTGACTTTGGTTATTTTATCACTATTAAACTATTATTTGACTAATGGAAATAGTTGCGCTCAGTTTAATTTTGTAAGGTAAATGTAGTGAAATGTAGGCTTTCTCTGGCACTGTAGCTTGAGAAAATCTGTAGGAAGAAGACAATTTGACTAAATGTTCAGTTTTGGAAATAGGAGGAAAATCCTTGGATGAATAATCTAGGGAAAGCAACATAATCATGCAGGAAAAGAACAACCCACTGGGTTTTGAACCTAGGCCATTGAGGAGGGTGACAATAGAGAGAACCACTGCAACAACCTGTATCTTGAACTTGAGTTGTTGGGTATTGAAACTTTGACACACCCATTGAAAATTAGGCTCCTAATCCCCCCCCCCCCCAATTGACCAGACAAAGCAGGACCCTTTACCAACTTGGTTCCAAGTCTAAACAGGCAGATGTGGGTTGACCCAGGGCCAGGGCTCAGCCCCACAGGCTGACCGCAGCTAGCTACCACTGTCTGGGACTATTCCGAAGGAAGTTTGGGTGTCCCAGGGATCCATGATCATTATCAACATTTACATGGTCACCTGACAGACAGGGACACCCACGTTATCAATGTCTTTAACCTTTGTTCAAGGTTAGAATGTCTGGTGCACTACCACAAGCTATAAATAGTGGCCAGGTTCCTGCTGAAGCGGCACCTCTAGAGGTGAATTCTAGAGTTGACTGATATTTTCAGTATATTAAAAAGCCATTTCTAAAGATCATGATTTGAGGTTTCCCCAGTTTACCCCCTATAGTCTTTTGCCCAAAACCTCAGCTGATTCCTACATACATGTACTGCCCATAGCACTCAGTGATTATATGGATTCTTCAGTGATGAAATACAATAAACATGTATTACAATGTTGTAGGGTTGCCATTTTTGAGTAATTTATAATTCAATTATTTAAAACTGTGTTGGACCTAAGATTTGAATATACAACACTTAACGATCCAGTTTTACATGCGCCAATTGCAACTTCGTGCCTCGTTGGTCAATTGCAAAGCACCCAGGTTAAAATATGCTAACATTACAAGGATCGGAACAATTTTAACTGCCATCGACCAAAAAGAAGGGTCATTTTTCGTACGGCTATTTGAACTGGCAAAAAGCTGTTCGAATACTGGGTTTATGATCGAATGTTGGAATGTTTGGGACCGTACACTGTACGGTCCCAAACATTCCAACATTCGATCTACATGTATATTCGGGACAGCCCTTCAACGTTGTACAGATATTTAATGTAATGGGTTAAATATGTAAACTTGAACACAATGACACAATGTTTTTTTCAGAAAGTGGTAGCAACTTTCTTATTTTTTTAGATAAAAAAGTCTTTGCAATTGCAGAAAAAAAACCTGAGTTTGAAAAAAGGGAAAGGCTGTGAATCAAGCTACATGTGTTGCACAGAAGTTCAAGGACTTGATCTGTCATTTTTATATTAAATTCAAGTAGAGTCAGACCTGGTGACAACAATGACAAGAATTGTATATTTCAGGCATGGGTATGTTATGATAACCTTGTTGGTCAATGGGGCATTTAATGCCTGTGTACGTTTGTATTATTGTTTGTGGGTCCTAGCTCGATGGTTTGTGCAACCTGGTGTGATCAAATTGTATTACAGTCACAATATCAGTCTATACAGTGTGTATAACAAATGTATGCCCTGAAGGTGTGACATGTTCTTCTGTTCAGTTATTTTTATGCTGCAGGACAATGAATCTTCATAACCGCATTTAATTACTTCACTCCTGGCTGTATTTTACTGAACGTTAAGTTGATTCTCATTTTTTATCAATTGAAGTATTGCACTGTTATAAGTAGTTCTTCTTTTCCACATTTTTGGCGTCTTCTGTTACTTCATGTTGACACAAGTGGGCATTTTCTAAAAGTATCTTTGGGGGGGGGGGGGGGCTCCTTCTGTGGCCTATCCTTTAGTTAAATTGAGGAGAATAGGCGTACATCCCATTGTATTCAGGCCCATGGCCCCTTGGCAATGTTTGCATTAATCTAAAGATGGCCAAACTTAATGCTTAATTGTACACTAACCTTCTAAAGTCTGGGTTAAAAGAAAACATGTTTAGCGTCTGGGTTTTTAAAAAGAAGGAGGAGGCGGGGCTTTTTAAAATTTATTTTTATTTTCAAGATAGCCGACAACCGTTGGTTTTTACACTGTTGAAAGATACAAAAAATGAAACACACATGCTGGACAAGAAAATTAAACATATTTACAGTGTTTTTAATAGTTTTTTAGCACGGTTTTATTCTTGTCCACGTCGACTCAACGAGGCTGGTTTGGAGATCGCAGGGTCGACTGCATGATGTGGGAAATGACTGATAGAGTCTAGAATTAGAAGTTTTGACTTGCAAGTATTTGATTTACAATGGATCGGTCGACATTTTTGCTTTAAAAAAAAAAAATCCAAGAAATCAACATAAATGTCTTATTTTTGAGGAAATGTGTGTGAAAACCTTATTCGTTATAACTAATGGCATGCATCAGTGACATTTTGGCCTCGCCGGTACGTATTTCCAGCAGTGAATAAAGCCATCAACTTTAGGGCCATTGTAACATAAGACCTGCGCTGCTGCAAATGCGTATCATGTTAAATGACAATTCTCAGTGTGATATGGGAACCACGCTAGTTTAAAGGTATAGTCCATCATTTGTAATTTTTGCATTTTGTTCGTTTGAAGCAACACACCTACTCAAAATCTGAAGAAGGGTGCTGAACAACTAACCTTATGAACTTTCAGCTCAGCTTCAGCTGTATATTTTGAGAAAAACAGCATTCTAGGATCTCGATTTCAAATCAAAAGCTGCTGAATCATGTTTTGAATTGGGCCTGAATTCAGCGTCCGAGACACGTTCTTACTGAGCAGAATGCAGCTACGCGATGTCGCGCACTGATCCGACAAATTATAGATGGCGTGCGTGCGTGCGTGTCGTGTCAACGCTTGCGCACGCTTCGTTGAATAAAAAAAAACAACTACTAACGGAAATTTCCAACGGTGCGTCACAAGAAGCACCGTTGGAAAGGCCTTCTTTCGTTGATTTCTTCAAAATGACAGCATGCCAGAAAGAATCATTTCACAGGGTTTAGTCCCCTTACTATCTTTCAGCTAAAAAGTATGTTTTTCAACAATAATTATGTCAGTCACTTTTTGGACAGCTGCAAATGATGGACTACAGCTTTAACAGCAATCCAGAGAACACACAGCAGCTCTAAATTTGGGAACCATCATTTTGTAACACAAAATTCATCCAAGTCATCACGCAGTTCGTAAGAAATGCATTTTATATAGTTCAAATCACTAAAGGGACGCTTTCATCCAGACGCTGGATGACTAGTGTCCCTTAAGGTTTGGTGAAATGAAATCCCCTAATGATGCACACATGACACTCTGATTAGTGCCAATAGGTCACACCATGGGATGTTATCTGTGTTCTTTCCTGTCTGTGGATACCCCTGGAGTTGTTACCTTTTGTTTAGAGTGACAATACAATGTTACCGTAGTCAGGATATGAGACTCGGAGATTGCCGGTGATTATGTGGGGTTAGTTACAGGCCAGGGCATTTCAAGGCTCACAGAAACAGGATTCATGAAGTGCATGCAGTGGCGCATCCAGAGGTCGGCAGGGGGACACCTTGTCCCCCTGGGGGATTTTTTTTTACATATTTTTTTGTTTCAGTGCGCTGTGGTCCAACGGTTACGGTGTGCGACTCGTGTGCCGCGGTACATGGGTTTGAATCCTGACCGTGGGAACATGGTGCTTGTGCTCTTGAGCAAGACACTTTACCATTATTGCTTTGTCCTTCGAATGGGATGTAAAGCCGTAGGTCCCGTGTGTTGTGTAATGCACGTTAAACCCAGTAACACTTGTCGCCAAGAGAAGGGGTTTGCCGCGGTGTTTCTGGCAGTGGCAGCAATTATGCGCCGCAGCACCTAGCAAAACGGTGCTACATAATGGGTCTCATATGTTCATATACTTCATTGTCTTTGGTTGCATTCTCCCCCAGCGCTTTGCATCCTCTGGCAAAAGGCGCTATATAAATACAGTTATTATTATTATTATTTCAATAAATGGTTCGAGAGTTCTGACATCATCCCAAAAACAGAAAACCAGGAAAATGCTTAAACCAAAGCAGCACTGCACTTGAAGGCCCAGTTTCAACTGCAGTGGACCTTCAAAGGTCAAATATCAGTCTTTGCAAGAAAAAAAACACATCAGAAATCTTCTGCACAGGGTACACACCCCATGAAACTCTGCGTTTCCTTTTTGGCATGATGTAAGTAACAGTTCAGTCACTTCAGTGACTTCACACATGATTGGCCCCATTCTGCCCCCCTTAGGGACTCAAAGTAAACTGTAGGGTCTTTGCTCCAGGCAGATGTGGTGCACTTGCAGCAAGTGAACTTTTTTGGGGGGAGAGGGGTGTTTGTTCTTGGGTGGCACCTTAGTGGAAACATGCAGGGTGACATTTCTGACCTGTGATACATTAACAACAGTTAATATTTTTGTACCTGGGGCGTGTTGCTGAGTGGGTGCCTATGACTGATGTCTTTGGTGTGTGGGCTGCATCATGTACACCTACATGCATAGTAACATAATGAGGTACAGCTTGCCTCGTCAAGATTTCTCCTTGAGGCCAAGTTCTTAATGTGGAATAAATTGTCAAAATTTGGGTTTGGATTGCAACAAATTGTCTAGTATTTTTCTTTTTACTTGTAATTTGCAATGACATTCGTCGTTGGTTGCACCATATGAAGTAAGTCTGTGCATCGGAACCAGGTACCCAAGTACCCGACCATTGATGTCAGGAACCGGTTCCAGATTATGGGATCGGGTACCCATAACTAACTTTACAAATTACTTAGTAACTCATCAGACAATGAAAAAGTAAGGTTTTGAGTGTCACTGGTGGGGAATTTTTTTTTTTCAAATAAAAAACAAGGCTACATTGTACATGTACATGTATATGAGAAATTAAAACAAAATATATTTCACATATATGATGCTTACGAAAGATGCAGTTTACACCATAAAGATATGCTCACTGTACACTTGTATCTTGCTGCATTGACGCACTGATGTGGTAGTATTGCTATTAACATGAGGACTTGAACAATGTGAACAGCAACTTTCGAGATAGAAGTTTGGGTTAAACGGGTACCGAGGTACCCATTTTTTTTTCAATCGGGTACCCATTTCCCATACTATCCATAAATGCACACCCCTAACCAAAAAGTGATGTATCGTGTGCACAAAGTCCACAGATGATCAGTCACTTAGTGGTGCGCCCGACGGATTAATCATGCATTATGTCAGTTATTCGGTATCATTTTCTGGTTAATTATAATCACAAAAATTCGTGTTTTTTCCCCATTCACAATATGTAGTGATTAAAAACCTAACAATAAAGGCAGGCTGATTTTTTTGGTCTATGTCTCATTCAAACATGAATAACTTTTGTTAGAAGAAGAGTACTTTTATAAAAAGTGAAATTGAAAAAACATACAATACATCTTTAATGTCTTGGGAGCTGAAAAAATAGGAAAATTTGCATTTCAACAAGTATTGTGTATTTTGATCTGAAATATGGTTTTCTGTTGTTATTGCAGGGGGCTCCATGTGTGTCGTTCTCAGGGAAGGTACATCTGTTGTCCAGGCTGGAAACCCAACCCAGGAAGTGGGTTATGCCTTACACGTAAGTGTCCATCGTAATCTCATCAAAGCATGATAGCCCTTATGTGTTTGGACAAAATAAACTCTGTGAATTTTTTCCATAAGTATTTTGTAGTTTCATTCATTTCAAGCGTTTACTAATTAAAGGTTGGCTGAGTCAACTCTAACATAACTCAACCCATCAAACCCCAACGGCATGTTCTGTTGGAATCTGTCAGGATGGGTACAGTTCTCCTAAATTGACAGTCTTTTTACATGGGGTTGGCACACCTCCAGAATCAAAGTCAGAAAAATGTGTGTGCAGTTTTCCATATGGTGTTGGAATTTGCCAGGATGGGTATGGTTCCTCATAATGTTGAGGAAGTTAGGGTTAACAATGAAGGAGAAATCAATCGTGAGTCTCTGAAGAACTTGTACCCTTGCATGAACCATAGCTCTATGCTTGATAAAAGATAATAAGGTATCGACAAATTAGGAAGCCATCAACATTGGGCTGGAAACATATCACATGTACACGTAGCTTGACATTTGGTGGATCTGGTAATCAGGAGGTTGCAGGTTCAAATCCCGTACATCAGATTTGAACCAGCCAAGTGATCCCGTTAGCTCGGTGGTTAAGTGGTTAGACATCTGCACTAGAAAGCAGGAGGTCGTGGGTTCGAGTCCCACCTGAGTGATTTTTTTTCCAATTTTCACTCGGGAGGTAACACATTGAGTATACAGTGTTTATACGTCAGTGAAGGGCAAAACCTAATTTGATTAACATCACTCCAACGCAAAAAAAACCCCATCTTATGAATAGTTAATACGGTACCAGCTGCTATGTACATCAGATTCGAACCAGCCAAACGATCCCGTTAGCTCGGTCGTTGAGTGGTAAGACATCTGCACTAGAAAGCAGGAGGTCGTGGGTTCGAGTCCCACCCTGAGTGATTTTTTCCAACTTTCATTCGGGAGGTAACACACTGAGTATACAGTGTTGATACGTCAGTGAAGGGCAAAACCTAATTTGATTAACATCACCCCAACGCAAAAAAAAAACCATCTTATGAATAGTTAATACGGTACCAGCTGCTATGTACATCAGATTCGAACCAGCCAAGCGATCCTGTTAGCTCGGTCGTTGAGTGGTAAGACATCTGCACTAGAAAGCAGGAGGTCGTGGGTTCGAGTCCCACCCTGAGTGATTTTTTCCAACTTTCATTCGGGAGGTAACACACTGAGTATACAGTGTTGATACGTCAGTGAAGGGTAAAGCCTAATTTGAAGCCCAGTGCTACTGCCTATATTTTGCTTGTTTGTGTAGCCACAGAGATTTGACCAATGGAAACCAGCTGGTGTGGGGTGTTATCCAAATAGCAGCAATTGGTACAAATTGGCTCCATAATAGCCAAAGGGTTGATCCTATTTTTGGTGTCATCATCCAAAGTTTGATTGATTAAAGTTTGATCTGAAGTTTGTGTCCCATGCCAATTTAATCGGTGGCCACTTGAGGATGGAAATGTACATTCAAATCACCAACAGGAGTACTTTATAAATAGTCGGGTGCACCACAAAGTGACGTATCGTCTATGGACTTTGTGAATACGATGCTTCGGCACTTCGTGGTGCGACCAATGAAGTAATGCTGTGCATTCCTTCCTCAAAACCCTTTGCTTTCTTGCTTGGAACTTTCATGAATCTGCCCAAAACTCCAGAGGCCAAAATATTGAGTCCGGTGACACAGATTTTTATAAAAACAGTAGACTTTTTTAAGAATATGACTTTTTGCATGAACCACCTGGAAATGATATTATCAAAGAGCACAATGCATGAAGGAACTGAGTTAAATGTTCATCAAGTAGCATGATACTGTGGTATTTATTTTTTGGCGGTCATGAAGAAATGCTTTTGGCAGTTTCACTCCCCCCCCCATCCCCCCTCTGAAATGCCCCACTCCCACTGCCTCCTTGGTCCTCCAACACATCCCCTGGGGTCCATCACTTGAAATAAAGAAATGTGTGGATCAAAAACTGTCCATCACCAAAACAAATGATAGAAAAGTATCCTGTGTTTTCTTCAAAGAACTGTGAATTCTGTCTTGGGATTGATTATTTTGACTTCACAAGAGAATACTGCCATGCAAAGCCTAAACCAAAACAGCTGTTTTGCAAATGATGAAGCAGCCCATTTTATTGATCCCATAACTCATTATTTGGAAGTAAGTTATTTGATCAATCAAAATGGGAACCACTTTAGAAAGGTATACTCAAACTTCGAATCTAACTGGACATACATTTGCAATTCTCCAGTTCTTTTCAAGTTCAGGACTGATCACTATCCATCAACATCATTTGTCAATTTGAAATCAAAGTGTTCAACTTCAGCTGTGTACATTTATAGTTTTCGTCTGCTTAAAGGAAAAATGAGCAGCAGGAGCCAATTTTGGGCCAATTGACAGTAATGCAGAAACCAGACGCTGAAGTTCCCTTGACCCTTGTAAAAGTCACTGACCTTGGCCAACTAACCACTCACTTCCTATTTAGTTGTGTTGTGTACAGAGAATTATGTAGACCAGCTATGTATTTCTCTTTTGGGTCCTTGCTCTATGCCCATGATGTTGGCACAGTTACATGTATGTTGCAACTGGGTTGAGGCCAAAAGGGGTGGGGGGGGGGGTGTGGGGGGTGTGAAGACATACTACTAGCATGGAGGAATAAGAAGTCAGACCATGGAGGAAGGAATTCATGGTCAGACCAGTCACCAGGGGGAGGGGGAGGGGGTGCCCCCCCCCCCCCCCCCCCCCCCGCATTGCTACTGGAAGTGGTAATGGTGGGCGCTATAAAGTAAATGATCTCCTTTACTTGTATCTGTGTGATTCCTCCTTTTGATCCTGGACTGACCTAACTTCAGGCATGCAACTTTTCCTCGGATCAGCTGATTTCCTCTTTTTTTACTTCCCATGTGTGCCATTGAAAATAGAAAAACACTGTACAAAGTCTGGGAAAAATTTTGAATTTCCTCTTTTTTGTGATTTCCCAGTTGCATGCCTGTAACTTGCAATAACCCTAAAAATACCCGCAACCGACCACCACAGCACTCCATTGTTTTATTAATTTATGCAGGAGAAAATACCAGGAGAAAATACAACTTTAATATCTAAGAAAGGGGTTAAAAGTTACAGTTCACAATGTTCAAGGTTCACATGAATTATGAAAAAAAAACTGCCTCAAACACGTTCAGGACGACCTGAATCGCATACGTGTTTTTCAACATATTTTTCAAGGTGAATGACGTACATCTAGGTAAACTTTAACTGTATCTAAAATCAGTATACTTTTTATTATCTACAGCAACTTAATTTTGCTAATTTTGAGCTGCTAGGGCTTCAGCTCTACTGTAAGTTTAAGCTGCAGTCCTGTCAGAAACTCTGGCCAGTAGTAACAAAAGGCAGTAAATAAACAGTGATCAAATGAACTTAATGCTTCAGACAATGACTATTCAGCTGTGCTTCACATGCAAATTAGGTAGGTGAACCACACACAAATAAGATGTTGGTCAAGGAACATTAGCAGCAGTATAGGGTGTACACAGATTATGTTAACGGTAAAATCTGAGGTCTTAGAAACTATAAAGGGGGAGAGATGGGAGGCTTAATTGGGTGTACAGGTGTAATATAAACTCAATTTCTTGGACATTTCTTAAACAATAGGGCCAGGGAAGGAGCATAGGGATTTATATGTCACAACTGGATTGCGAGCCTAGCCAAAATCTGGGCTAGATGGAGGGGCAGGGCTTGAAGGTAAACTTACAGATGCAACAAGTAGGCCTCAGGCAATCCACTTACTGAATACTTTTGGCTGTAATTTCACCCTCCTTGTATCTGATAACTCTGTGGTTGCACAACCAATGAAGGGATATCCTCCAAGCTCCAACCAAGCACAGCCATCAGAGTTGGGTAATCAGGGGTTGAAATTGTTCATTCCGGAGGGTTTTCGTCTACCTCCTGGGCTCCAGTGGGCATGCATGTCTACCTCTGTAATTAGATACAGCTGGCCACATCCCAAATGGAAAGATTAAACAAAGTGTAGCCATAAATGGCGAAATATATATGATCTGACTATGGTCTGACATATCAGGTGATTTACTGACCAATCCTATCCAAACAAAAAGGGATCATGGCTTAAATGTTATAATAGCAGTTATATGCCAGTTGCAGGCATGCAATTTTTCCTTGGATCCGCTGATTTCCTTGTTTTTTACTTCTCAAGAATGCCATTACAAATTGAAAAACACTGTACAAAGTCTTGTATGGTTTGGAGTTCCCTCTTTTTTCCTAAGTTCCCAGTTGCATGCCTGCAGTTGTAATACAATCCCTTCCGTGGCAGCAGAAGAGTATTAGGTGAGGAAGAAGGGGCATTTTCCCCACTTGAAAACAGTTTTCTTTGCCTGGAAAGCTTTTGATAGCGGGGACATACATGTATGTAGGTACTAGTTGTGCCCCTCCAATTTCAGAAACATCCCGCTGTCATTGACACAAGTACTTGAATTGATTCCTGTTACTGTAAAGCACTATCATATGACAGATTTGCTGAATTAAAGTTATTAAAAAAAAAAACTTCTTCGGATTTACGTACCCCTAAAAAAATAGATTTTGTTTTTGAAAATTTAATTGCCAAGTTTCTACGAATACAAAGATATTTACTTTTTAACGAGACATCGAACAAAACTGAGCCCACGTTAAATGGAATATTTACTTTAATACTACATGTCTGATTTGTAGCTGCAGCTGTACAATAGATCAGGCATTTTTTGTTCATTACAATGCTGAAAATAATTTCAGCTTATTTTCAGTGGGTCAAAAAAGGAAGACAGAAAAGAGCATTTTCCATTAAAATAACATTGACAAATTGAAAGTTTGTTGCAAGATAAAATGTTGATGAGTAGCTTTAACCATAAAATATTTTCCAATACTATTTCATATCGCCCTTGACCATGGACCTCCTGTATTTTAACTCGTATGTTATTATACACATCTGTAATTGTACTTCATCTCTTAAAATCTCTTTTTCCTTCAATCCTTATCTCATCTGCAGCTGTTTGCCGAGGCTCCTGCGGGGAGGGTGCATGCAGCGCCCCTAACACCTGCACCAGATGTCAACAAACAGCTTACGGGACAACGACATGCCAACGCACTGCACCAGCTTACACGAGAACATCTTACCCTGGTAAGACAAAATATGAGTAACTTTGAATTGCATCGAGCAATCACATTCGCGTCAGGAGTAACTTAAGTCCGCCCTCAAGTTGCCCTTGTGACAACTTAGAGCAGTGGGTGAATGACTTTCCAGGATCCAGCCGCGCCTGAGCTACGATCGTCCAGAACATATCAGTTGCCGATTATTTTGCGACCACAATGTAACTTTGACGATATTAAGACGATGGGCATCAGTCGGTGCTAAAAAATTTACAATTTTTGCACTGCGACGGTATGTGTTACCAACAGGCAGGAATCAATCGCAGTCAACTTGTGTGAAATTATGACATCGTGTGTGCATCCGCATCTTCTTATTTAATTGTGTAGCCAATCAGCATCAGGCAAAAATGGTTGAATGAACAGTGGACTATCATTTGATTGTTATCAACCCACGCACTGCCACTTTGCAGACATCACATGCTGTGGCGCACGGGGGTGGGGGGGGGGGTTGCTTGAGACTCAAGAGGTTGTAATGGTTTTGTAGTCGCACATTTTGACCTTTGTGATATGTACATGTACGTGGCCTGTTTTCGAGTAGTATAATGGGGGGGGGGGGGTAAGTGGTGCCAACAAATGTCAAAATAGTCCCCCCCCCCCCGAAAAAAAGAAAACAAACTTCCAAAAATTGTGAGCCCCCCCCCCCTCCCCAAACAAATCCAAATCCTGGGTGCGCCACTGATCACATGATCACGCCTATACCAAGGAATTGTCGAAACATGGGTGACATGAGCATGGTTGCTATTATTTTGTGTCCAGATGCCGCTTGTTCCGCAAGAACAACACGATTTCTCAATTTTGTGACCTCAAGCATTACTGCTTGATTTCTGCTTGTTGCCGATGGTTCAGTCACGGGACAAGCAAATACAGGTCTACCTGAGGCCACCTTCTACAATTTTATCTAGGCTAAAGTTGAATAGAATCGACTCTGAATAAAATCGTGACTCCGGAATCAGAGGCAGTTCCACAAGTGCCCATTTATCAGGAGAGGGGAGAAACGTTGAAGGTTACCCTCCAAAGGTTTGATAAATGGAATAAATACAAGCAAAATGTCTCAGATAGCCCAGAATCTCTTCAATGTTCATGCCCCACCCTTTTGGGGGTAAGTTCCAAAGCCCCATTGCAACTAACAGTTGACAGATGTGCATTCCTGCACTCCTCAGTCAATTGATGATGTCCCTTGCTCTATGGTGTACCCTCCAGGCTCAGCAAAAAACTGTAGCAAAGTCCAGTAACTACAAAAAAGCTATCATAAAACCAGAGGCACAAAAACTGTAAAGAAGTAGCTCTCATTGGGACCTGTACAACCTACCATGGAACTCTCTTAAAGTACCTTATATACTGCCAGTAAGTTACTGGACAACCAGTTTGTTAGATTATTAAGAGCAAAAAGGAACAACATCCTATTCTAAGTAGTGTTGACTACTGAAACCAATGCAGAATAGCAGTATTGATCTGTGTTAAGGAGATTAAGTGGGATAATCCAGCCCCTAGCCAGGGCACAATTGGTGCTTTGTTTGACCTTGATTTGACAGTAAGCTGTGAAGTGTGCTAGTTGTATGGGGATTAGCACACCTACTAACCCACAAGATGCACTCAATGGATCCCAGTAGCAATTTCCTGTGGCTTTCTTCTGTGTAAATCAGTGTTCTATTCTTTTTGGTTGATATTGATTTTTGTTTTCCAACAATGTTTTGAAAGAGCTGATAGTTGAGGAGGGTTGGAAATTCCAACTTTACTTTCATGTGGAGGAGCAGATTGTACATGTATATACTGGAGTTGTAGTCAAGCCCATCATAAGTCCATCAGAAGTAACAAGTCACAAGCCAGATCAAATGCATGAGATTCACAGTGACCAGGGTTCGACTTAAGTGGTTGCCCACTAGCCAAATGCTAGTCAAAACAGCAGCGGGCTAGTCAAACTATTCCTTAAGTAGCCCGGTTGGCGAGTCAAAAACTATTGGGCTACGGCAAAAATGAAGGACAGGAAGAAAACAATATTTTTATATTCAGAGAGCAAACCTGTATCAATCAATGTGTGTCTAATTTATAACTGTCAAGCGTGAAGTTATCAGATTAGTTTATTAAAAACATTGACAAGATTGCCTCAGGATACACGTTTTAGATGTATTTACATTGTTGTTTATGAGACACTCTATAAAAGAAAAAAATGCCGACTAGTGAAAATGCCTGCGGGCTAGTTAAGAGCCTGTTTCAGTAGCTGGGCTGGCTAGTGACAAAATAAGTTCAAGGGAATATACATCATTTGCTTTTGCTGTAATTTTCAGAAATGGATGAAATTGGGGGGTTGGAAATATATAGCAAATATAGTTACACTGACTTTTTTGAGGTTTTGGGTTCGAAAATGCTATAAAAACCAAGAAAAACAATCATTTTCCTGTAGTCTGGTTCCCTGACTCCATTTAAGAAGAAACAGAGCAGTTTACATACATTGGGGAATTGTAAGGTCAGGGAACCAGTCTAGCTGGCTTGTACCCGTTCATAGGTGTGTAATCGATCGCAAACAAGTGCGATGGTCAACTGGGGCCAGTATTTGAAAAAAAAGCCAGTTTTTTCCAACGCTGGTCGGCCGATCAGCGTTGGAAATTGATACAAAAATACCACTTTTCTTGAAAATGACAGTATACCAGGTGCCATGATTTTACAGGATGCTTTACACTGTCATTCACTAACAGTCGATCCAGCAAGGTATTTCAAAATGATTTGGTAGTTTTATTTTTTGATGTTTGCAAATGTTGTATTTTCCCTTTAAGGTCGCACCCTGAAGAAATTCCTTTTTTTTCACAGGTTTCTGTCCTGGCTGAAAAGCTTGTCACTTTACCTGAGAATAGATGACATATGATTGATTTGTGCCGATTTGAGTTTGCTTCAGTACCCTCCTAAATGCCTAAAATCATGATGATTTCCCCACTCCACATGCTCCACCACCCACACTGGAAGTTTTTCATGTTTGAAGATTAATTGTTGCAAAGTGCACTGTCCTACATGTATGTATTTTGGTATATCACAACAGTGCAGACACTTCTTGTGATTTAACTCTATTTCAAATGTAACACCTGTCTTTCTCACCTTATCTCCAGAAGATAAGGTTCCTGGACTTGATTATACATGTACTGAGAAATCACCTCTGAAGGTTGAGAGAATTTGACTGACATTTTAGTGGTAGAGCCTTCATGTAGATTTTTCAAATGGGGTTGGCTTGATGTGTTGTAGGTCAACACTTTAGGCCTTTGCACGCTATTGTCTCACCTACAGTACTAACGTCTGTGTTGAAATCTGGTCCCATCAAAATACGCTTTGTCTTGATTCGCAAGAGTCATTTCAAAAGTATTTGTACAATATTTCTTGCTGAAACCTCATATGTTTCAATACTCCGAGGTCTGCACTAGAGCGTAAATTGTCGAACAATAGGCCGTGCACAACGGCCAATTCAAGATCAACAAACGGTCGCCTCCACAGACTTCACGGACTTGTGTGTGTGTGCAAAAGGCACAAGGGATTAGCGTGTTTAGATGTCACCCGGAGGCGAGTCGAGGCAATCTTGACATTTCAACTAGTCATCAGCCGTGCCTGTGTATAAAAGCAGCCTGTACGTGCTCATGTCATGGGCACTAATTGGTTAAGGGCAAGGCATTCACTTCTCTCTCTAAAAAAATATCCTTAGGGAAGACAGAAATTTTCTGTAAAATTTAAATTGTTTTGAAGTAAAAGGTCATGTTACCTTAAGCAGTTGCTCAGCTCATACATTATTTTGAAGTCTACATCCACTCTGGCTTCCTCCCCCCCCCCTACACCCCCCCCCCACCACATACTGTTAGCAACTGTTATGTCTGGCCAATGTACGCAATCATGTTGTCCACATGCTCTGCACATACATGTTTCATGTTATGGTAGTAAAATGTGCGGAAGCTTTCAATTTCTGGGCAGTCTGGTGACCTGAGTGACCCGAAACCTGCCGCCAATCAATCATTTATTTTTCACTGTTTATCAAGCTGTTGCCAAGATCAGCAATGAAGGAGACATACAAAAGCTTTTGCTGTCAGTGTGCACAGGTGTAAAATTCAGACAAATAATACACCTACATTTTCTAGACTTCCTTCAATGACAGTATCCTAACCCCCTAGTAGTTCCTCAGGACTACCCTGCTAAATCGAACAGAGTCCAACTGGAGTTTCCTGTTCAGTCCACTGTGCCTTATTTTCAGTTGTCTGCTGAATCCAACAGAGTCAAACATGGCGTTATAATGAGGTTCAGTTGCCTGCTGAATCCAACATGTATGCATCAAGAATGTACACCAGGGGTTTACTGCTCAATCCAACAGGTTCCATCCAACAGGCTCCATCGGGTATTTGATATAGTTGGATCCTGTTGGATTCAGCAAGGTTAGGGTTAACACACACAAAACAACAACAATTTTTATTGAAAATCTGAAATTTTTTCAAAAACTTAATGACATGTTTGATCAGAATGATCCTTCTATAGAAGCCCTGGCCTACCCCATTCCACTTGCACCTTTAAATTAAAGTCAGGGTTCCTAGCCACTGTGGAAATCAGGAAACACTCATTGAATTTATGCAAAACAGCCAAATCAGGGAACACAGTGAATATCTTACAGTGACCCAGAAGGGAAAGGTTTTTCGCCAGTTTAGCGTGGGCTCTACTATGGGCTACATGTACATGTATGTGTGTGTTGTGCCATGTGTCCAAGTTGTGTCCATTGATTGAGTCTGACCACAGTCTGATGGAGGCTTTTTTTTAGTGTTTACTAATGCAGAGTGTGTATTACACACCTCTCCAGACAATAACAGTTGGCTGTGATACACCACCTCTTCACTTCCCAGCAACTTGGTTAAAGGGAAAATACAACATTTGCAAGCATCGAAAAAAAACTATGATGTTTTTATGAAATACTTTACAGGATGTTGGTAAATGACAGTCTAAAGCATCTTGTAA